ATATTCTATACACCTAACTATAGTGTTGAATTAGAAAAGGTCCTTCAAATGCCGATGGCGTTTCACAGAACAGCTATCAATGTCTTCCTCATCTTTAACACTGTCAAAATCGTTAAAGAATCATACTTCTAAGTTCTAAGCACCACTTCTCTGCATTTGTAGTTATGACAACATGCCGTAACAGTGAGAAAATAAAATATATCGCTGCTTTCGTGAAATTATCTATTCTGCCCCTTCAAACTTATGATTTCGATCCACCGCTGCACAGCACTGCACCATGCACCCTTCCTCGCCCTCCCTCACCCTTGCACACCTCCCCTCCCGTCCATCACATGATCTGCTATGCCCGAGGCAATGGCACATCACAAGACCGTTCGCCTGCCTCGCCCCAGGGCATAGCAAGGTCGTCTGAAGGCCCTTCGTGCGCTGGCCAGCTGACCCCGGAGGCCGAATTCCAGAGAAGGACGTTGCAAAGGCCGTTGGACGCCGACTAATTGCTGTCTGCTGCAGCGCATGATTGGCCTTTGGTGATGCACTGCAACGTGGTGAGTCAGGGGAGGGTGGGAGGTAATGACCCGGATGGAGGGGTTCGGACTGCAGAGCAATGGCCGCGATGTGGAGTGTGCTCGGCGTGCGCAGTTGGCAAGGCACTCGCCATGTGTATAGTTTTAGAATATTAGTTGATCAACGTTCCTGCATTGAGTGCTCGGCTCAAACAATAGCCATTGATTTAGTAGAATTGAAGAAAGACATCGTCTTGGGTCATCTCGGCTTTGACGATGCTAACAAGACATCGCTCCAACGAAAGGCGGGTAGGTTGAACAGGTCGCATGCATGCATTGTTTTTCGGATTTTGTTTTCGTCACCAGAAACAGATTTTAGACTCGACTTGTAATGCTCTTCCATCAGCCTCGTCGAAGACTTGACTGACGCGACCTCCCAACAGCCTTTATAAGGTTTACACTTTACACCCAACATACACCTGACAAACGCTAGACACACGCCCGTCAAAGCCCGAACAAACACCAGACTTTACTGGTGTAGATTGTATCACCACGCACAGCAGCTTTCCACAGCCGAGGCACGGCTGAACAGTCGCTTCTTGAGACATAAGTGCGTCGTTTGTCCTCCGGTGATCTCATCACGAGCGGGTATGTTGGTGAGGATCCACAAAGAGAGAAAAGAGTTTAAAGACGGAGACCACCGGGAAGAGATGCGAAGAAAGGATGGAGACCACCAAGCGAAGAGCAACAGCCAGGAGGTGATTGGACCATTCGCCATGACTTATGGCAAGAGAGTTACTTGCGAGATATGCATGCCGTGAGTACCTAAGAGGGTTACGTGAATGAAAGTTATGTGGTAACCAAAGAGTTATGAAGTTATGTTTTAGTTTAAAGAGCCAGAATGTTTCAATTGGCTGTTTCAGTTTCGCATCCAGTCGAACGCAATGGGTAGCCAGTCTCCAAGGCTGACCCTGACGGGTGACACATTACTGGTTCTTGTGCTCGAATGTAGCCGATAATTGTTCTGATATCTTCAGAGAAACTACCAGACCTGTCAGTTGATAACAAATGTATCAATTAACAATGCACAATGGCGGAAATGGGCGAGCAATCCTTCAGCAATCGGCGGTATCTACATGTCAACCAACAATGGCGATGGCGCAAAAATTAAATCTGTTAACCGATCTGCTCGTCACTAAACGTAACAAACGCACCTTTGTTACACCTTGATGAATGCTATGTGCGGCGTACATAAAACTGATGTCTCGATTCACGACAGGAAGCGAAACCGCTCAAACTTCCTGCAAAGAAAGCATTTCCGTTTCTTGCCACGATGTGCTGATACGTAAGTCTTTATCGTCCTATTGAAGTGAAAGACCTTCTGTACCCAGCTAAGGTTCTTTACTTATCAGTGGTGTTACGCATACGCTCAGTACATTTGGATGCTCGATCAAGAGCCTGCGATCTCGTAAAGAAGATATTTATTAACTAACTCATTCATTTGTTAGTCTACCTATTTGTTTCACAAATAGGTCCTTAAACGGTGATAATATCCTTTCCCAAATAATTTGGAGCACGTTTGATGTGTCCGTCCTTTACCCATTGCCATTCCATTCAGCTCGGAACCCAGTTCGCAAAACATCCCGGCTAGCCACCGGCCAACTTCGCCCGCATGGCTCACGAAGCTTCTCAGCAGCGTCGATCACGAAATAACACTTCGATGTCGCTCACGAAGTTCGAATCTCGTCACCCACCAGCCACTTACAGCTCCTTTGACCGTTGGTCATGCGCGGAAGAGTCGAGACTGCACCCCGCGGGCTTTGCTCCATTTTAAATCAGGCTTTGCTGGAGGTTAAACCGTTACGGGAGGAGAAAGAGAGAGAGAGAGAGAGAGAGAGAGGGGGAGGGGAGATATTCATGCTGTTCGATCCCGTGATAGCTCCGTTATCATTTTGAGAAACTGTGATCATTAAATACGAGTCTGCTGCTTCGTCGGTCAGTAATACTGTGAACGTTTGTCGAGTCCGGGATTGACCGTTACCCGTGATTGTTTGGTGTAAGATTTTTAATATCCAGTGGGCTCGTTATCCCTCTGTGATTGCCACTCATGCCATGAGTTACTCGCGACCCTTCCGTGTCAGTCATTCATCCTATGAATGCCAGATCTTTCCGTTATCTCCAGCAAACCTTACCTCGTGACTGTCGTGATCCGAGCTCGGCAACTCTCGGCAGCGCGTGCCCTCCCAACTGTGAGCGGCATTTCCTGCCGTGCACGCGGTGACCGGAGTGGTGCCACTGCCGTGCACTGGTGCACAGTTGCACCACTGCCGTGAGCAGTTCACACCATCCGGTGCCCGCTGGTGACGCAATGGTGATGTAATGAGATTTAGGAAGTCGCACACCAGATGAACAGTTGTAATGGGAGTAGAACTGGAGCTGGAAGAGAGTGAAAAACGGCTTGTGCGAAATGTGGAGAGTGGCCAGTGAATGACTAATGCCAGACTCAGTCCTAAATGGTCGGTGTTAAGGTTTGTCGCGACACATTTAGGTATGTTTTGCAATTCCAATTAAGTTTGCCTTTCTGGGCAGATATGGCATAGCATATAAGCTGAACCGCGGCGTTTTTTTTATATCACAGCGGAGCTAGATGAATCTACGATTTAGAAATCCTCGTCACTCGTTAGCAATTTTTATGGGAATATTGCCAGCGTCTCAAGGCTATGTTTTGAAACCGATCCTTTTAATATTCTAATGGCCTTAATCATTCAGAGCGACGAAAACATGAAGACCGTTCAAACTTAATGTTATCATACCAAGCCGATCAATTGCCAAATTCTGGGCCACGATTATGTCATCTTTGCTGGAAATGTATTCACCATTTGATTCCAAAATAGCTGTCCAAAGACAGTCTATAACAGTCAGCGACAGTCTCCCAACCTTGACCCTAATTGACTCATCTATGAATATAAGAATGAGACATTTTATACCCCATTTTCACTGGCCAGAGTAACAGTTGCCCAGCCTGCGTTTTACTCCGAATGTCGGGCCCACACGTCAGCTGCAAAAATTCACGAGAGAAGGGCCCGGAAACCACTAGACAGACGGTCGTTTTCGCAATATTGCTAGCCGGCTACACGTGAAGGCAGTGTGTGTGAAGGGATTGCAATGGCAAGTGCTGTTACCGCACTCACGGCTCCCTAAGAACTCACGGTCTATTGCGCAGAAAGAGAGGCTGGTAGGAGTGCAGAGGGAGAGAGAGAGAGAGAGAGAGAGAGAGAGAGAGAGAGAGAGAGAGAGAGAGAGAGAGAGAGAGAGAGAGAGAGAGAGAGTGAGTGAGTGAGAGTGAGTGAGTGAGTGAGTGAGTGAGTGAGTGAGTGAGTGAGTGAGTGAGTGAGTGAGTGAGTGAGTGAGTGAGTGAGTGAGTGAGTGAGTGAGAGAAGCAGGACCTGAGTCAGCTGTCCGGTGCAAAACCTGTGCTAGACGGAAGTGACGTATACGAAATGAATGCCATTAAATCTGTCCAGCTGTGTCTGATTTTACACGCCACATGGGACATTTTAGCACCTCTTTCTTGATAGTTAGTCGGCCACCAGGCACCATAGAGGCTTGTAGGCATAAGCGCAATCAGCATTTGACATGTTGAGATGAGGCAAATTGATATTTTTGTTATGTAAGATATCTACTAATACATTGATTAGAGATACCCTACCTAGCCATTTATTTAGTAAGTCATCATAAGCGCGCATGATGCCGATAGAAGAATCGTTTTTTTTATCTATCACCAATGACATATATACCACCAGGATTAAACAATATTTTTATACTCATTCTGTTTCCATCTCCAAGGATGAATAACCGTCCAAGAAAAGACATTACGTTACAAAATTAGATCTTTAGCGTAAAGGAAAATAACAAAAATGGAACAACTATATTTGCCATAAACCTTCCTATACTGATATATTCATGCTTCGTTACTTTTTCAATATTCCGTATGTTCCCATTGAATCAGTGGATCACTGATAAGCCTTCTCCGACTCTGGCCTCCCCAGAACAGTGTGCTCCTGTGCTGCCACCTACCGAAGCTCCGTTCACTTTCACCGCCTACCATCCATCAGAGGGCAAGGATGGGCGGCGCTAGCATCGCTAAGGCCTGGGGAGGAACACTGCCTATTGTCTGGATATAGTGGCGCTGGGTGGACTCGTTTTCCCTGTGAAACGTGATGTATCTCCCAGGATCTCAAAATGATCTGTTATCTAACAACCAGCAGGTCACAAGGCAGGTATATGACCCATAAATAGTTACTTTCCCGCAGTCTAGCCATTAGGACATAAAAAGAGAAGCTAATTTCCTGGATAATTCCTCCAGCTTTCAAAGAAAACTGCAGAATGCAGATATGTTCAACCAATTCATTTACCTACAGCTGGTTGTGTTTCAATGTTTAAACAAAAATAATCACTTTTGCGCTTCACGAAAAGGCTCAGAAGAAAACAAGAACATAAAGAGGCCTTTTATTTCCGTACACTACAGTCAATAGAAACACCACGAAACACCTGTTAGAAGCTTTTCACAATATCACAGCACCCAAAAATAATACTATCAGAAAACTTCCAACCAGTGTAGGCTGTATCGGGAGTAACAAGAACGCGTCCAATGATACCAGGATGTAACGATGAAGATCAACATCAAAAGATCTTATCGTTCACTCGGCCTTCACGGTATTGAACCCAAAAGGGGTAATAATACTTTCAAATACTGATAAGCAGAAAATGTTGTCCAGAAAACCGAACCACTGACAAGTTACTTCGCCTGGTTATGATCATTCCGAAATGCCATTAGACATCTCAGCAAACTTTCTCATCACGTCGTTCACAAATACTGGCCAAAGATGACACCGCCAATCAGAAAATACTGCCGATCAGACTGGCGATGAAGCCTGCAGTGGCTGGGGCGACCGTCGTCGTGATGATTGAGGCTCCGTTCGGCGTCTGACGACCAAGAGCGATATCATACGACTTGAGAACAGCGCAGGCGAAAGGCTTCTCCCTGTTGAAACAGGCGTAGTACTCGGCAATGCTGCCAGGATTTCCTCCCCGGCAGAAGTCGACAAAGGCCCTGTCGACGACTTTGAACTGTTCCGGACCGATGGCGTTTCGGGTTGCCTCGTTGATCAGATCATAGTTGATCTCTCCGTTGGGTTGGACCTCTCCTGTAGCTTCGGCGTAGCAGAGGGACGTTTCGTTCAGCCTATCCAGCTGCTCCATGGTCTTCCTGTTGTTCTCCAGGGTGACATCGGGGATCTCCTGGCCTTGACTGAAGAGGATGTAATAGTGCGCTGCGCCCTGTAGGAAAGACATGTCCAGTTTCTTGTTTCTCGCACATGCTTCCCATTTCATCCCCAATTCGTCGGCATACTTGAGACCAACGTCAAAGCAGGGCCCTTCAGCCAAATCGGCGACGGCTTCCACAAGTTCCTTGGCGTTCTCTGGGTCAACGACCTCCACATAGGTCGTCATGTTCTTCCGGTTACATTCAGAAAGAAGCAGTTGGTGCCAGCAGGCCAGCACGAAGGCCCCTTCCTTGTCCGCGGGCACCTGGTCCAGAACCATCGAGTAACACCTGGTCAGGCTGCCCTTCTGTCTCGTCGTCCATTCTTTATCCTTGCTCAGCTTGTCAACGTAGGTCTCGCCAGCAGCTTGGTCGTAGCCTTGATCACTGGAGATTTCGTAACTGGAACGAAACAATTCACATTAGCGAGAGTTGGTGGATAGAAAATATCAATTACGTATTTCATAAGCTAGCTAATATTGCCTTAGATCGTTGTAGGTAGTTTGAACAGCGGTAAAAGGCGAAAGCAGACCCTCCCCTCTACATCATCTCCACTCAACCACAAAAAAAAAACTAAAGATAAGTCCGTGCGTAGTGCGTACCCAACTATAAATCTGATGATCGGTATCTTCTGGACCCTCTGGAGACTGGAAAGCTGGTTATTGATATACATGCATTATCACTATTAAAGGGACTATCCCACCTTTAACATGGGGTTTGAGTTGAGATAGCCAAGTTTGCGGCGAGGTTCAGAAACCACTATCTATCTAGGTTGCAACCCCCGCGGCCTCTTGGTGTTGAAGAAATATGTTCCCTTCATTTGAAAATGGGCCTTGTACAAGGCCCTATCTTCAACATGGAGCGACCGTTAGTGTGACGTCACCTCGTTTAGTCATTCTGATTTAAATGGGTTTGTTCGTTGAAAAATCGCTTAAAACTTGGTCTGAACTTTGTTGTGGTGCCTACAGAGTAAAAAGAATCAGCTTTATGACAGTAATGTGGCCTGGGGAAGGAGGTAATTTTGGGCTGTGACGTCACATATTTGAAAGTTTGTGTTTGGAATATGGGAAGCCTAAGATGTTTAATGAAAAATAAATGCCAGATCCGTGTTCCTGGTCATCCAATCTATAAAGTCGGGCACAATTTAACTGGTTTTAACAACATTTTAGAAGGTGGGATAGTCCCTTTAAAGTGGAGTATCGTAATGAGTAACGTTAAGCGGTGAGAACGGATAACCCCCAGACATTTGAGCTGTCCCGCCTCACACCTTTCACGACCATTCCCGACTGGCCCATCTCGACCCGACCCAGGGACGTAGCCAAGGGGGGGGCGGAGGGGGCGCCCGCCCCTCCCTTGGGGTTTTCAGGAGGCCCCCCGAAAGGATTCAGGCCAACGTGGGCCGAAGGCCCACGTTGGCCTGAATCCTTTCGGCCTGAATCCAACGTGGGCCGAAGGCCCACGTTGGCCAAAATCACGTCGGAGGCGAACGAAATTCACGCGGGAATCTAAAAAATGACGTCAGAACAATCAGGGCCCTCTGACCAGCCTGACAAGTGACAGCTAGGGCCCTTCTCATCTCCTGTGAATAACCACTAGTGTCTGTGTCTGACCGCTAGGGCCCCTCTGACTCCTCAGTAGACAGGAGGCCCTCTGTGGGTAGGAGGCCCTCTGTAGAGAGGACGCCCCCTTAGAGAGGAGACCCCCTGTAGAGAGGAGGCCCTCTGCAAAAAGGAGGCCCTCTGTAAAAAAGAGGCACTCTGTAAAAAGGAGGCCCTCTGTAAAAAAGGAGGCCCTCTGTAGAGAGCAGGCCCTCTGTAAAGAGGAAACCGTCTGAAATCAGAAGGCCCTTTGAAGAGAGGAGGCCCTCTGTAGAGAGGAGATCGTCTGAAGAGAGGAGGCCCTCTGTAGAGGAGGATTCCCTCAGTAGAAAGGAGGTCCTCTGTGGGTAGGAGGCCCTCTGTAGAGTGAAGGCCCTCTGAAGAGAGGAGGCCCTTTGCAGAGATGAGGTCCTCTGTATAGAGGAGGTCCTGTGTAGAGACGAGACTCTGAAGAGAGGAGGCCCTACATAGATAGGAAGCCCTCTGTAGAGAGGAGGTCCCTGTAGAGACTAGAGAGGAGGCCCTCTGTAGAGAGGATACCCTTTGTAAAGGAGGCCCTCTGGAGAGAGAGAGAGAGAGAGACACCCTCAGCAGAGAGGAGGCCCTCTGTAGATAAGAGGCAATCTGTAGAGAGGAAGCCCTCTGTAGATAAGAGGCCCTCTGTGGGCAGGAGGCCCCCGGTAGTCAAAGACAGCGTCGTATATTAAGTACGTAGAGTGGAGGCCCACTGTGAGCAAATTACCTTCTGGCTTCTGGTCCCTGCTACTCTCTATAGAGAGTTATCAGTTCTCACTATAGTGAAAACTAAGAACTCAGGAAACTGTACAGAATAGACTCTCAACCGCGTCGCCGCCCACTGTAGGAAGGGACAGGGGAGGAGGTCCTCTGTAAACAGAAGGCCCTATTCTATGTAGACAAATTATTTGTATAAATGCGCTCAGAGAAATCATGCCGGGTGCCGTCAACGGTTTTGCCGTCAACGGTTTTACCTGCAGTGGCCGCAAAAACTGCCAAAATGGCCGATATTTTCGGAAACCAGTTTTCGGCGATAACTTTCGTCTCAAAATTTGCACGAACTTCCCTTTACCAGCATCGTGTTCCTCTCGTCCAGACGTGTGGAATGAACTATGAATTGACCTTGAAAGGTCAACTTGAAAATTTGGCCTCAGGTCAAGGTCATGACCTGACCGATAAGGGCTAAGATCCATATCAGTCCATCCGTATCGTCGAGCCAAACACAACTAAGGTGTATTCATCGCTCTAGCATACCTCTATCAAAAGTTATTCGCGAAAAACAGTCAGATACCATTCGTGACCTGAGATGACCTCAGGGTTATAGAAAGGGTCACGGGTGCCATTTTCATGTTCAATGTGTCAAATATACTAGTAATTCAGTGTTTTAGAGTGTTTATAATGACTTCCGTCTAAAAAGGCGACTTTCAATTTAAGGTCGCAAAATTGACCTGACCTTATGTCATCGATATCAAAATTCCAAGACATACATTTTTTGCATTTTGTCGCTCTTGTGCATTTGCATCTCTGAAAGTTTCAAAGCGTTTGGTCACTCCGTGTACATACCTTTGGCAGACATTAAAACTTTTTATGTAGTGAGGTCATTTGACCTGACCTGGTGACCTGACCTTAAGTGACCAGGGTCTGAAATTTTCACAACATGTGTAGAAATGATGTAGGATAAAGTGTGCCGCGTCGCCGTTTTTGAGATATTCACGGAAAACTGCAGGGGGGTGTTTAACACCCCCCGGCAGGACGCGGGTTAATGCATGAACACAGCAGCCCATTTCTGTAATATATACCTGTGGCTGTGTTGGTATTTTTACGATGGATGCAATTACCCAAACCATTTAATAGACCGTGGTGATATTCCCATAGCCATGCTTCGCACAACTCATAATTATACCTATCCATCGATTGTTTGTTTCATCTACGGCGTAAATGAAGCAAACCACCTGGACCTAGGAAAATTTACTAACGAAACCATGTTTTACTTGCAGCAAGTAAACGTGGCATCATTCACACAGAAAGAATTGATAACCGTATAGTTTCAATCTTGCAGACGTCAGTAAGGTCAGAATCGTGACAAGCCTATTGGAAAATATAGGTAATGAACTGTGTCCTGCTTCGAGAAAACGAGTCAAAACCACCCAATTCTTTCTGAATTACGTCAGATTATCTGATCTGTAAGCACCCAGGTGGCATTTACTGACAGGAGCACCGGGAAGGATCATCTGAGGTGAGGTGAGGTCATCAACAGTTTTTAGCCAATAAATCACGACATGATGGGGCTAAACAGTTGTTAGTGTACCAAACCGTTCGCCAGGTCATGACGCGTCGATTGGTACCCAGCGTGACTTTCCTAGGTTAGATTTTGAAATTGACCTATCTATGTAGGTCGTTATAAACCATGTTATTTGTTATGACCTCTGGCGACCTCAATATTGACCTGACCCAAAAAAAGTTGTTTACAAAAGTTGTAAGTCGTTCAACGAACTATCAAACGCCCTTGCCGTTTGTCGCTACGATTCGTGCTTTTCGAGTTCTGACGGGGGCCAGAAAAGGCCCCCGCCCGATTCAGAGTCTTTCAGAGCCCGCCCGGAATACGGTTAAGCGCTTGAACGATATATGATAATACACCAAGTGTTACTCTGACCGTCATCCAGTATCCTCCCATTCCTCGCAGATCCTCCCCCTCCTGCTGCGGTCCGGCCGCCGCCAGCGCCCGAGTTTTTTTTTTTGCCCGTTATCATGCCACTCGGAGACTTGTGATATGCGTATGTTTCTTACCGCTGCAGCCTGCAGCGGTAAGAATAAAGAAACATACCAGTGCGCTTGCCATATGAAAGCTGAACAAAAGTGAATGCATTATGTTGTATATGTAATTGTGTAGGCATGAGACCCTCTGTAGAAAGGAGGCCCCTTTAGGGAGGAGGCCCTTGTAGAAAGGAGGCCCCCGGGATTCCTCCGCCCCTCCCTTGGCCAAATCCTAGCTACGTGCCTGACCCGACCTCACATTGAGGCGATACAGAGAAGTTCCATGGTGTGATCATTATGATCGTTACAGTCGATGCTGGTGAGAGAGACGATATCAGACGGTACACATCTGCCTCCCAGGAGACGAGAGAACTGGTCCTCCACAACAGAGCCTGCGGGCGAAATCAAAACTCAGCAAATCATCTGGGGAACAGTTACAGGTCGGAAGTCAACATCGAGAAAATGTAACGTTCACGATATTGGATGCGATGTCATAGCTACACATTACTCAATTTTTCCATTACCATTTTTCATATGCCACAACCCTGTTTTTGGTAGAACCGACGGTCGCGTATGGCAGCTGCTGTGCCGGTGACTCATGCAGGGTTCGATCGAACAATACAGAGATAAGATAGGTCCATGACTGGCAATCTCTTTTGTCTGGGAGCCGTCCAACAGGGGAGTGGTGTGCATGGGCGAAGGAAGAGCAGGATCCAATCCAGCGGACGGAAGCACGGCAGTACCTATGTTTTTTACGCCTAAAGCTAACAGTAAACGCAGCCAACAAGAGGATACAGTTATCACACATGTTCATGGGGAGGGGTCGACACTGTTCAGAAAACATTATTATTCAGATTTTGCCATGCTATCACTACCCTCCAAAAAATCGCCGATATCGATTCGCTCTGTGCGGTACACAAACTCAAGCTGCAGGTACGGCCCTCCCTGAGGTATTAAGTGGTTGGTTGCCATCATCATAATAGGTAATCGATCTGCATTGACGAATACGTCTAATGGATGTTGAAACCATTGCCGAAGTGTGTGCACGAACCGTCTTCTCATTTCTATTGAGTCATTTTACAGGAGTGTCTCTGTCATTCGAAGTTATTGCACCAAAAACACATAGGCTAACCAACCACTCTTTTGCTGGACGGCCGTACCTCTTTTACCTGTCGATGGCCCAGCTCTGTTTAGTCTGTGCCCCGGCGGCTATTTCTGTCCTCACCCTGTGCTGAGGAGCCCGAGCCGACTGGCCCGAGAAGTTGGAAAAGGACGTCGAGATAAAGAACGTCGGAAAGGACGCCGACTACAACCGCAAACGGCGGGTCTCAACTCTCGTAGCATATGACATCGAGCGAGGGACGCTTCCGCTTAGACAGAAGATAAGGGACAAGAGATGGCGATTATATGAAGCGAACATTTACCGTAAATATGGTGCGATACGACGAGAGCATTTTATTTTCAGGACATTGAAACGATGAGAGGCAATCCATGGAATAATTATGAGCGCGTATGAATAAATTTAGGTACTTTGGCCTCACACACAAACGTCACTTCTACATTTACATACTAAACAATGACCTAAACCAACCCCCCAAATTTTCAGCACAGCTCAGAAAAACAGCTCACCTGTTCCAATTTGAACCACAGCTGCAACCACCACTGCAACGAGCAGAAAGCCCAATCCGCCGCCTCTGTTCATAGCTTCGTCTGCTAGCACGACCGGTGAGTAGCCTACCTACAACCGACGAGGCTGGCGACCGACTGTGTGACCCCTCCAGCTAGCCGCCCCAATGCCTACGTCATCCTCCCATCTGCAGCCGTGTGGAGGCGGCGGGGAGGGGCGGGGCTGACCTTGGGCGACCTGGAAAACACATCGGCAATGGCGATGCCAGCGCCGAGGGGAAGGGAGGTCGCTTCCGTATGTTGAATACCTACCTGTGAGGTGGTTTTGCTCGTTATGAAAAGCCTAGAAGCGCTAGGATTTAGTCGGATAAATGCAGAGTGAAACTTAGGCGTGGTTTACACTGGTAATGATATTTAACTCAAGTAGGAACAAATCATTAACCCGCGCCCCGTTGGGCTCTGCCGAGCAACGCGCCCGGTTGGGGGGGGGGCATTTTGCCCCCCCCCCCCCTAAGATCTCGAGAACCACGCAACATAGCGACAAGCGGTAAACGGCGTTGGATAGCCCCAACGGGGAACTACCTTGTGACCCAATTTTATTGACCTAGGTCAAACCGATGACGTCACAGGTCAGGTCAAAGGTCCAATTTTCACCGTTTACAGGCATTTCAAGAAATGCGTTGTAAAATCGAGTAAAATGCATTTCATTGAAAATCATCGATGGGGAAATGTTCTTCAAACACATATTTTGCTATTTGAGGTCACTGATACCAGGTCAGGTCACAGAGGTCAGGTCACGGGGGGGTCACAATATGAAAGTGTCGTGTGATACATGTTTTATGGTCCATTTTACATGACAAATGCGATTATGTGGGTCAGGCAGCCTTTGAGGCCAGCTTAGGTCACGTTTTGGTCAAGGTCAGGTCAAGGTCAGGTCAAGGTCAGGTCAAATTAGGTCAAATTTCAAAGTTAATATTTTTGCATAAAATGGGTATCGAATCGATGCAGCTCGTCACGGGGAGTTCAATGGTGGTCTTTGTTTTTCTGTACGTGGTCTAGAATCGCTAAAAATTGAGTTAAAAAATTTGACGTCATCATTTTTGAACAGTTCTTTCGCTATAACTTGGCAAAAAAACGAGATATCGATCTGAAATTTGGTATGTATATAGAAGAGCGCTGGGACTATCACATATATTCCGTTTTTTTCGAAATTCGGAAATATTTTGGATTTTTCAAAAGTTTTTCTAAAAAAATCAATTTTTTGAATTTTTTTTGGTCAAAAACCAAAAATTTTGAAAATCCGAGATAGCAGTTTTGTAGCGCCGCTTTTTGTCTACTAGACCATATAAAGAACTTTGAAATTGCTTGATAACTGTAGATTTGGTGAGCGTTTCAAGATTGCATGTTTTTTGCTCATTTTTGCTCGAACATGACCTCAGTTTGACCTCAATAACTCCTGACCTAAGTTGACCTAAGACTTGAAATTTGGTGTGAAGGTGTCAAATTGATGGCCGGGAAGGTACTGAAAATTTGGCGGCGCTGCGCGCCGCCGTTTTCTTGCTATTCAGGAAAAACCACAGGGGGGCCAAAATGCCCCCCCCCCAACGGGGCGAGGGTTAAGCATCTCCTACTTGTTCCTCGTGATGCCTTTGTTGTGAAAACATGACCTCAAAACATTTTTGCTTGTTTGTTTTGTTGGGTTAGGCCCTTTCGGTCCAATGGGACCATTTCAAAGCCGGGAGGATGATAGGATATAGGGGGAGACATTGGTCTGGACAGGCACCCTAGTGAGTCGCCGGGGCTGAGCCCGTCCAGAGGACAGGCCAACCAGCTCCAAGGCACTCACTGCACCCGGCTACGGGGTGCGCTCCCTCGGGAGCAGCGGTGCCGCTCCAAAGGAGCAGCCCGCGTGAGATAAAGTTGCCTGTCCAGCCCGGAGGGGGGTTGCGACGTGGAGGAGAAGGATTTCAGCATCCTGAGGATAGAAGCACGGAATGGTGACCTCAAAACAATGAGCATGTGCTTATTGTGCAAGACTTCAATCGCACTCTTCCCAGAACTGCTGTCTTTTTCAATACACTCACGTTCCCCATGTTATGCTTAGAACAGTGATTTAGCATTTGTTTTACAAGGAAGAGTGACGAAGTTCTATCTCTATCGAAATCGGTCAGTCACGGTGCAGCCATCTACCATAATGACGAGGCTGAATGGGTCGAACTCCTCGCATGAATATTTCGAGGTATCACGTTGTGGCTTGTGACGTTAGCGATTTCAGACGCAGCTATATTGAGTTCAGCCTTTATTATTAATTCATAAATGAGCGCGAACGCGAAGCAGCTTGGAGATATGGGGTTTTATCACTCAATTTCTGCGGCTGAGACTTCGTGCCAAGGTCTTGATGATGAATATCTCGCTTTGGAATTGCTTCAGCACTCGTATATCAGAACTACCCGTTCCCTCCATTTCCCAATATCTTCTTGCTGACCTCGCGGTTACATTCGATTTACCGGAACTATTAAAGTAAAATCATATGTAAACGATGTGATATTTTCCACATGCCAGTAGCTATTTGGTAATTGATACGAAGGCATTGTGGACGCTTTAAATTGTTTGTTGCAACATAACTCCAGACCCATTGCGCGTCAAGCAAGAGACTTCCTATCAAGTCGTCGGTGATCTCTAAAGATATCACCAGAAAATTGATACGAACCATAATGTGAAACTTTTTTATTTTAACTTTTTGTCGTTGTACATAACGTCCATTTCACACACAAAAAGGTCATTTGTAATGCCAACAGTACGGGCGCACGAGAAAACTGACCATTCTCATCCGCAATTGCAGACACTAATCATTGCAGTACACTACCAAAACATGCTGTCACTTTCAACACGCAGCACCGCGAAGGCCGACCGAGCTTGGCCACGGGTCCAAGTACCGAGCCTTGAGCGACCCTCGGCGAGAAGATGTGGTATTTAGGTGTGCGTCGACTCTCTCAATTTCCGCCCAGGAGACGGGACAACGCTGTGTCATAGTCTCCAGTGGATTTCAGCTGAAAATGAGAGCACCGTCATTCAACAACTTAACTTTGCAGTTGATCAGGACTCAGGGAACTACAGATGGAAAATGAGTAGGGTCACTCTTCCAGCAGATGTGATATAGTGATAGTTGAATGCATGTTAGTTATGGGTGCAGACTGCAGACCAATAACCTAGTGTTTGCGCTTTCGCTCCATAGCTTCATAATTATCATCAAATCATCTACAACATTAGATATGCAGTATACATGTGATAATCTAGGCTCTCGATCCATAAGAATTGTGGATTCTTTTCAGTTTCATCCTATTCCAAACCCAGTGAGCAAAAGTCTTCTCTTTTCTTTCTCAATCAGCTTCTCGCCGTCCCTCTCTCTTCCCTCTCCCTTTCAGTTCTTCCCCTCCTTCCGTCGTCATTCTGTCTCCCTTCCTCTCTTCCCACTCTCATTCCCACTCCATCTCTCTTTCCCGCTCTGCTTCCCTCTCCATCCTGTCCACCTCCATCCCGCCCTTTCTCTCCCTCTTTCCCTCTCCACCTATCTTTCCTTCTCCTCTCCCTCTCCCTCTAACCTCACCTGAACATCATCGATCAACTTCCTGTCGTACAGAGTGTAGTACTCATCGGAAATAGTTCCCAGATCGATTTCAGCACGAGAGACAATCAGACGGATGAGTGAGGAGTCGTCCTTGGAGAGCGGTCCGCGACCCCAGAGAGCATCGTGCAGACGTAGAGCCAGGAACCGCGGCAGGTTGCGGGTCACCTCGACTGGAACGAAATGGGGTGGTTACGGAAGTCAGCGTGTGGTTGAGTAGTGCAGATCTTTGCGAGTTAAGTATAAATATGCATGTTTAGCAGCAAATGATGACGGCGGCATGGTTCGACATAGTCCTACTCAAATGGTCTTGGTCATTGGTGATCATGGCAAACTAATGGCTCCTCACTTATCTTGGATAAGCCCAGCCTCTGGGTTCTACTTCTTAGTGCAATATCACTTACGCCCTGATGATTGGGCATGATGTTTTACCAATGACCCAAAGATCACCTCTCGCTGTAAGAGATCAGTCTTCTCACCAAACCCACAAAGCCTTCTCACCGATGGCCAGGGTAGCGTCCTCCACATGTCGGCTGAACTCATCCTCCAGCGCCTCGGCGAAGGACTCGCGGGCCAGCTGCTCGTACTCGGAGAAAATGAGCGCCAGCTGGGCATAGTTCTCGTGTGTCAGATAATACTTGAACGTCTCCTCTTCGGTGCCGAGACGACCCTCTCCTGCGGCGACAGAAACACGCTGTTAGGTAACCAGTTAGGTCTCCCGGCCTAGGAGCCGAACCATGCTAGTAGCAACTTAAAGTTTTGATTCAAAGCTGCAGTTAGTTGCACACTTCTAAAGGACTAGATCGAGGCCAGCGCTTCTAAACATCTTAAAATTATGTAAGCATGACATCATACCAGCCATGAAACCAGCCTGGTAGAACAACCGCCTATATTGACCGGGTGGTGCGAGTACGGCCGCCTTATCATTTGGTATGAGCGCCAACATCAACCAGACATGTTAAGTTATCGACCTTTTCACTAGCCCGCTTAGTACAAATACGACCCCTACACAGGCGCGTAACCACGAGTCTGAAGTTACTGGGGACCACATGGAGGACCGCAAAGACCAAATATTATATTTCAGGATCTATCGTTGGCCGTTGCCCGATTGGGGGTATGGGGTGGGGGGTTGACCACACCCAGTTTTAATTTTTGCGCGTGTAAGGAAAAACCGCGGTGCGCACCACCGCGATGCTTAGATGTATAGCTTATGATACCTTAATTTCGCATCGTGTGTGAAAATTTTGACCCCAGGTCACATAAGGTCAGGTCACCAGGTCAAGTAAAGTAACCATGCCTCTAAAAACTTTGTGACTCTGTCATTCCTACAGTTTACATACCAGAAGTTTGAAACTCGGGCTTTTGCATGAGAAAGTCAGTATGAACAATTCGTATATCTCAAAGTCACATCGGTGACCTAATATCAGGTCAATTTTGCGACCTCTCCATTATAAGTCAATGGGGGAAAACTGAAATGTTCTTCTTTTGGCCGAAAACAAATTCAAACACCGTGAAACAATAGGCAAACATGACACACTGAACCGGAAAATTGCACCTGTGACTCTTTCTACCTATGTCCCTGAGGTCATCTCAGGTCATGAAATATCTACAACAGTGTT